CGCGTGTATGCGGATGTATATGTATATATATACACGAAGTTCGTTCTATTACTTTACAAGATCTGACTCCGTTCTTCAGACGTCCTCCCGCCATCTTCCTTTTCCTTGTTCGCTCGATTTTTCCTAGTTTTCCGTGAGTTGAGCGGACGCCAACCGGAAGCACGCGATCGGCGAGAGGAAATTCGAGTTACAGTGGTCTACGCGACATTCGTGATTCTCGTCGAATTCCGCTGCATTCGTATGATCGGAAGATATTTAAATATACAAAAATATTAGACTGGCCGAAAGGTGTCGCGATTTTTCGTTTTATACTATTGACGAGTCAACTGCAAGACAGAAACCCGCTAAATAAAATCATTGTTCATTGAAGTTGAATTTAACGCAGTGAAATGTTTCTTCGAACTTCATTTAAAAATGCGCTCAGACATTTCGGCCAGCCTAATAAACTAAAATCGACGTCACAGTACAATTTCTCCAAATTGTTGCATTATTTTAAACGCATTGAAACTTTTCAGAAAAAACGAAATGGTTTCCAATCGAAGCGGAAATTCGACAATTTTTCTTCGTTGAGAACGTAAATTGCTCAAGCATCACGGTATGATGAATAGTTTCTCGAATTTCCTTTCGAAGAGATCTCGTTTCGTCCGCCATCGTCGTCCATCCAGTCTTTCGTCGCGCTTAGGCCGTGCTTTCTCGTTTCTAAATTACGCTACACACTCTCATTCTCACTCATTCACACTTTCTGTGCTCGTCGCAGTCCTCTCGTCCCTGGACGCTGGAACAACCGAACGGTCAATTTGACCGATCCGTATTTTCTCACGCAAACTGTAGGAATTCCTCGAACTTTCAATTCACGTATCGTATCATCGTATCAGTTTATTAGGTGTAGCAAAAGTTCTCTGGAATTTGTCGATGAAATCGAATAATTGAATAACGATTTAAGACAATCGCGATAGAAATCAAAGAAATCGTAACTTCAATGAAATGAGTCTAGCCAACTGAAGCTGGTCGCGAAGATTCTGTTGTCACACCTAATATCTGATGATCTCACTGAAAGTTGTCCGTCTTCTCAACGATCACGCAAGAAAATCCTCGGAACGAGTCACTTTGACGGTTCCAGCGGTCCCAGCGTGGAATCCCGAATATTCTCTATCCTTTCCCTCCGTGTCCCGCGTCAGCCACGGAATCGTGAAAACTGTGTCGTCCCGAAGAAACACGTTGCGAGTCGAAAACGGGAATAAAAGTGTGGTACGCGCGGAATTCAAGTTAAAGTCTCGTCTCGTTGAAAAACAGAGGACTGAAATAGAAGGTTTCTACTTCGATAATACTTTGTACTCGACGGTCGTTCCATTTTTTTCCTCGTTTTCCTCCGTGTGACCTCTAATAGTCTAATAGTCGTCGACGGATTACCCCTCCGTCGTGATCCTGTGCGTTCTGTGTATTTACCCGAGTTATTCGTTTTGGTTCCGGCGATCAACTCCTGTCAATGAAATCTGTAGAAAAATAAATTGTATCGGCGACACTCGGTTCGGTTCTCGTTGCCCCTCGCATCGCACGCGATTGGATCAGCGGCTGTCGGATGGCTCGATACGAGCTGGCGCCATGACACTGTCGCTGGACGATTTTTTGGGAAGAAAATGAGGTGAAATCAAGGAAAATTTCGCCGGTTTCCTCCGTTGATCCTTCGATCGGTTGAGAACTCGTCTCGCTGAATTTATGATTCCTTCTAAATTTCGTAACGTACCCGACGCACGTTTCGTTATATTCTAATCGTTCTATCGATCGCATGGAAAATCTCTGTAAATTTTCTACGTATGTACAGTTCATTCGGTGATTTAATTTATTTTAGAATTATCTTAGTGCCTTTCAGTTCATTCGCGAGAATGGCGTAGCACTCGAACGGTTAATTTCCTTTTCCAACTGTAATCATACCCTTAATCAAAAGAATTCAATTTGAATTCGACAGTGAACGTTTGCGACTCTCCATAATTTGCAACTCTCTACTCTATCAACACCGTCACTTCGATCCCAAAAACCGTTGAACAGCGCTCAATGCCGGGCACTCGATGAAATCGTAGGTTGGACAGGTAAATCTCGCTAAACCTCTAAGAAACAGAAGGTAACGAGTAGGTAGTACGTGATTCGCGTAACTGGCGATACAATAGAATTCTGGTCTGCGAGTGTCTCGCTCAAGTTGCTGTTAAACATGCAAGCACTATCCTGTGGATACGAGACTGTTTGAACGAAGGATAGCTGGAACGAATCTTGACGCGGTGCTTGTATCTTTAATAGCATTCTCTAGACGTACACTTGAATATATAGGGTGGTACGTCATTAACATCCCCACCGACGAAACCTGACCGCTCATGAAAATATAAATCAAAGATAAAAAGAGATTTAGAATAGAACTCTTCAACGGTATGTCGAATAAAATAGAATTAATCTCGATAAAATTCGATCTACGTTTCCTATTTATCTTTCCCTGATGAATCACCATCTCGTCGGTGTACTAATGGACCACCCTGTACACGGTTCTGTCTCCTTTCCA